CAATTCCGTAGATTACAAAAAATGGGCCGTCCCAGTATCGATGATCCTATTACAAGTGGCACATAGCCACAAAGCCCAATAAGCTTTTTGCTTCAGATTCTGAAGTACTCATCTTAACAATCCTAGTCCAATTCCATGGACCCAAAACTTTTGTCGAACTAACTTAAGGAAAATACTTAAAGAAAATTAATTTTTTTAAATGTATTAAGTTGATGTGAGAGTGCATATTTTAAATTGTCCAAAAAATTAATTTTGAAATGAATAAAAATCAATTTGGGTTACCTTAATTGTAAAAAAAAAAAAAAAAAAAAAAAAAAAAAAAGCTATGAATCTAATTGATCTATATCTATATCATCAATGCATTATAAAATCGTGCGTGTCATCTTTGTTGCAAAGCTAATTTAGGACACTAGGACATGTCATCTGAACGTGTCATAGAGTCATCGTCCGGTCGCCACCTTTTGAAGAACCTCAAAAACTAAAAAAAATCTTGGTACTAATGGGGACATGCCGACATTGTGGTGGTGGTGGCCCGTCGTAAAAATACAAGAGAGAGATGTCAAAAGGCTACACTGTGGAGGGGTACATCTCCTGCCTCTAGTGTGGGGCTATAACCCATTTTTCAACCATAAAACGCCGTCCAAACGGTTTGTTGACGGTACTTAAGAATGGTTGACTCGCAGCTGATATCTTCCTATAAAGTAAAAGAAAAGCAGGTCATGATAACCAATGCTTTTCTGGTTGAAAATGTACTTAAAAAGTTAAAAGTTTAAATTTTTATTTTCAAGCTACATAGAAGTGAGGGAAGTAAAATAGAATATAAAGGGTGATCTCTTCTTGCCTATATACCATAGATAGTGTGTCGGCTGAAAAAAGGAGCCAAGACTTTGTAGCGCCCTTTTTTCTGGCTGTAGGTCTCTCATGGTGGATATCTACCGACTTTATTTCTACCCAATTCTTTTAGCAATTAAAGTTGTGTTTAGCTAGGGTTGATTTTTCACGTATCTTTTGTATGCAGATTTTATAAAAGTATTAGTTTATTGTAATTAAATTAATTTTAATTAATATTATATATATTTTTTAATTATATTAATACAAAAAAATTTACATCCATAATACTTTACAATAATCTTAAATACAACTTAAATTATTACTCTAATTTCTTTTAGGGTGTGTCTGTATCACAACTTCTGCACGAAAAAAATTTCGAGGAAGTCTAGCCATTAAAGTAAGATTATAAGCTTAAGTATTTAAATGTGTGCTTGAAAATAATATTTGAAGTAATGGATTATAATGTTTATAATGAATTACAATGCCCCAATATTATTTTCTGTCTAAAAACACAAAAAATAAAATCTTTTTGATTTTGTAATTGATTTCATTTTATTTTAATTTTTATATCAAAATTTTTACTTTTTTTATCCAAACCATATTAACAAAGGCTCACGGCTTCCCTATAAAAATAATTTGGGAAAAAGATTTACTAAACAGTCTCTTAGAGTCTTATTTTTTACTATTCAAAAAGTATCAAATTGTGAAAAGGGAACTCTTAAATGTCGAAAACAATCTCCAATATCAATGAAAATAGTATGGAGTATCCTTCCCTTGCCCCTTCTCCCATCCCTCTTTCCCCAGTAAATTAATTGTTGAATTTAGTATTTATTCTTGTAGATTATATGTATTAAATTTTAAGTAAAACTCAACTTTATATTTTAAAAAGAGATTAGGTCAAATGTGCAAATGAACTCTTAAAATTGTTCCCTTGAAGTAAACCACTATAAAGAAATTATTGATATGATTTTTTATCTCAAATTTTTATTTTTAAAAAATTAATTTAAATTTAACAATTATTATTAAATTTTGTTAAATTATTTCTCTTGAAATCTAACGAAAAGTTAATAATAATTATTAAACTTGAATCAATTTCTTAAAAATAAAAATTTAAAATAACAAATTGTATCAATTTTTTTATATGATAATTTACTTTAATATAATAATTTTAAGAGAAAACTTCAATGATGTTAATACCGTACAGTACCAGCCAGTACAGTCGGTACGTACCGGTTTTGGTATTTGACCGAAATGGTACAATGTTAATTTTCGTTTCGGTCAAATTCCGAGCGTTTCGGTCAAAATCCGGTGTACCGGCCGGAATTTCGGTGTACCGGCCGGTACACCGAAATTTCGGCCGGTACACACTGCAAATTAAAAAAAAAAAAAGGATTCCCCTAGCCCAAAACGACGTCGTTTTGGGCTAAGGGCTTTTCAGAACATGCAACTGTGTCCGTATAACTCAATTCAAATTTAAAAGGGTAAATTTCATTTTTGATCCTCAACTTTAATGTTATTATAATTTTTATCCTTTAACTTTTTTATATACTTTTTTAGTCCATTTTTCTTTTCTTTTTTTTTGTCTTTTTATTAATTATTTTGTTAAATTTATCTAAATATACATATTTTTAGTCCCTTAATTTAAAGTGGATGGTAATTTAAAGTGGATGGTAATTTAAAGTGGATGGACGAAAAATATACATATATTAAAATTTGAGAGACTAAAAATGATCATTTTAAACTTATTTTTAATTTATAAGAATCTCATAGTTTTAAATATTAGTATCTC